GATGTGGAGGAAAGGTCTAATGGTGGAGGTTTGTCCAAAGGACTGAAGGCTACCTCTGGATGTGGAGAGGCTGATGATGGTCCAGCCCAGGACAGAAGGGCACCTGCTTCCTCAGGCTCTGATCCCACCCCATGGTTCCCCAAGGTCCATGTGAGCTCATGGTGTGAGGCGCCCCTAATTGAAGGGCAGCCTCTGGGCATGAAGCAGAGCCCTGCCTTCCAGCCCTTTCTCTCCAGAACTTTCAGAGATGCAGAACCATGAGGACCTCATGACTCAGAGACCTATTTCGCAGACTGTCTCTCCAGTCCAGGTCTGCGCTTTCCTGTTCAGATCGGTCTCCTTCAGAGAAGGAGGGACTGGAACTCCTTCCCAGGGTCAGTGCAGAAAATGTGTGGGGCAGGTGCTGCCCACAGGGAGCTTCTGGGATGACCTGCCAGCAGGCGGCGCTGTGGACTCAGGCAGGGCCCACTGTGGCTGGCCACATGGTGAGGCCTCCACGTGCCTCCAGAGCTATTTTCTACGCTAGCCAGGCTTGCCAGCCTGGGCCCTGCAGGGTCACCACCTCCTCGCATTCCTTCTCTCCTCCTCCGCTGAGGAAAAATAAGCAACATTATGCCCATTTTGCAGAGCAAAAGACTGAAATCTACAGGTAGAAAGAATGGGAAGGGCAGCAGACCTGGTGTGACAATTCAGCACAAGTTGCTTGGGGAAACCTGTAGGGCCTTGTTAGCAAATCACTGCCGTGGCAGCTCACACTGTCCCTCAGGCTGACAAAGATACCGTAGTCAGGGATGGAAAGCCCTGGGTCCTGGGAGGAAGGGCTGGTAACTGGGAGCTCACCCAGGCCCTTGTCCATAAAAAGAACAAACAGACAGGAAGGGGAGGACAGATGGGCCATGTGGCTAAGGGCAGAAAGCAGCCAGAGGTGGTGCTGCAGCTCTCTGAGTGAGAGCCCCTTGGCTTCTCTGCACTTCTTCCACAGACCCAGGCATTAGCAATGCCATGGAGGCCACTTGGTACATCCTCATGGTGTGTCAGGGAGTGGACAAGCTCAACATCCCTCCTGAGAAGGACGACACCCACTTGACAGTAGAAGAAAGGAGGGCTCAGAGAAAGTAGGCTCGGGGACTTTACCTGCTGTTCCCAGCAAGAGTTGGTAAACTTGGATCCCTGTAGCCTCCCTGGTACTTGTCTACCAAGCTCTAGGCAGACAAGCATGGAGCCTGGTGTGTGGCCAGGCATATAAGGTCAGGTCTATAGCTGGAGAGGCTTAGCATGGAGTGCAGGCCCTGAGGACGGAGCGCCTAATCAGAGGCTCCCTAGAGAAGAGGAGCCCTCCCGAGAGGAGGAGAACTTTCCTAAGCAAATGCAAGAAAGCAATCTGGGCCCAGCTTTCCCCATTTGTTCACAGTCTGCACAAGCATGGCCTGCCTGAATTCAGTAGGGTCCACCTAGAAGAGAGGTCCCCATGGCTGTGTGCAAGGTGGCCCAGGAGATCTGATAGGCTCCACTAGCTGTTCTTAGAACATGTGAACGGGCTGGAGAACCTGGATGTGGTGGTGGACATGTAGGATCCCAGTCATTTGAGAGGCAAGCACAGGAGGATCACAAGTTGGAGACTAGCCTGGGCAACTTAGTGAGACCCTGTTTCAAAATTAAAAGAAAATGATTTTTTAAGAAGGGTTACTGGGGGTGAATTAGAAAAGAAGCCCCCACTTCCAACAGCCTCAGCTTTTGTGTTCAGGGTGAGCATGGACAATTTCTTTTGCTGCGACAGGCCGCTGTTCTGCCATATCCAGCCCAGGATCTAGTAAACATGTCACCAGAAGAAGAAAAGAAAAAAAGGGCTAAACTGTTGCTCAATGATAGAGGACTTGCCTAGTACAAAGACTCCACCCCCAGTACCAAAAACCAGTGAGGGGAATAGGCAAAAGAGGATAGAACTCCTACGTGCTCAAGTGTCCATATCTATCCATAGGGACAGCTAATTAGATTGCTAGATTAAAACAAAAACAAAAAAACCATGGATGAAGGGGTTGAGTTGAAAGAGATAGCAGAGGAAGATGAAAGAGATGACACTGTTCAAGCCAAGCAGGCAAGTGGCTCACGTCTGTAATCTTAGCTACTCAGAAGACTGAAATCGAAGGATCATGATTCAGAGCCAGCCGGGGCAGGAAAGTCTGTGAGACTCTTATCTCCAATTAACTACCAGAAAACTGGAAGTGAAGCTGTGGCTCAAAGTTATAGAGCACCAGCCTCAAGCAAAAGAGCAAAGGAACACTGCCCAGGCCCTGAGTTTAAGCCCCATCTCTCTCTCTCACACACACACACACACACACACACACACACGGATGAAGATAACTCAGCTTCTGGCTTAGGGAGAATGACTGAGCTACCAGGGACTAAGATCTAGCACTTTAGAGAAGGAACACTGCAAGAGGTGCTGAGCCTTGGGTTAGGGACAAAGGGGAAAAGGACTCCAAATACAGCCAAAATCAAGCAGTCCTCTCCAACTAAAGGAAGCAGTCAAGGTTGACTAGAATTTGAACTTGGTCAGTAGCCCAGAAGGAAAGCACAACAACCAGAGCTAGTCTTGGCTAGACTGTATTCTAGACAATGCAAATGGATTCCCAGATCTGAGCAGCCCACCGGTCGAGCTGAGCACTTGTGCCAATCACTCTCAAAGTGTGTACCCTCTCTGGGAATATTAGTAAACTTGACTCAGGATGTAGAGAAACTGAGGCCGGATGGAGTCAAATGACCTTAAGCCACTGCCCCTAAGAGGTACAGCTTCTGGAATCCTCGCTAGGCCTCCTTCCCTGGGCACAGGACCACAGCCTCTCTGCTCTCTCTGGTTCCTGGGTATCTGCTGCACTTAACAAATGAGGAAGGCAACGCTGGGGGGTTGGCTGCATGGCACTAGCTTGCTCTACCAGGCCTCTCCTGCAGCCACGTCCTTGCTGGTATTTCTGTAGTGTCATGGGCTACAGATGGGCAGCTGGCACACTGGGAGGTAAAACCCTGATGCCAACTGCTGATGGGGGGTCGGTGTGAGCTCTGTGAGAGTGGCGGTGTGTCTGTCTGTCTGTAATCCATCTGTCCTTCTAAGGAGCAGTTCCTCTTATTCAAAGAACTAGAGCAAAAGTGACTGGTGGATGTAGCAAGTTGATGTTTGAAGAACTGTCTCCAGGTGTCACAGAAGGAGGACTCTGGGCAGCTCCATGGCTTGTGCCCCCCTCACTTGCTGGGCACAGCCTTAGATCCATTGTCATGCTTTGGCTGGCCTGCTCAAATGTCCCAAAGAGAGACAGAGTGGGGGCTGAAGCCCTCCATTCCCCTTCCACCTGCTGTGGTGACCAGGGCAGGCCCAACCTCTGAACTCCTCAGCCACCCCTCCACTCTCCTGGTGACACCTTCCATGTGCCCCTGGGAACAGGTGGACATGGAGAAAGGTGAGAGAGGAAGGGTCAGAGTTGGGACCAAATGGCAGGGCTGCTCCATTATGGAGGGAAAGGGCTGGCCTTGGCTCCGGGAGGCTGTTGGGAGATAGTCGGCAGGATGCAGTGGCTGGACACAGGTAGCAAAGGCCAGTAGGATGGCAGAGTCTGTGTCTGGGAGAGCCAGGGGTACCCATTCCAGAGGCTCTGAGGCTACAAGGCCGGAGCTAGACAGAATTTGGATTGCGGCCTTGGGCCCACAGAGGGCTGGATATGGGGTGGGGGGAGGAACAGTTAAGCACCCCCAAGTTCAGTCCAGGTAGAAGCCTCTTGAACACACAGAGACTTCCTCTGAGGGAGGAGAGAGGGCTCAAGCACCAAGCCAGTACTGGCTTTGATTACTGACCTCCTCTCCTAGCACATAAACTGAGGAACCCATGCTGCCAAGCCAGAATGGAGGCAGAGCCACTCCTGGCCATGGGCTGACATCTAAAGGTCTCCGTTTACCTGTCCAGGTGGCTGGTGATGAAAGCCCCCAAGGCTGTCCCTTCCGAGATGTGCCAGGCTGCAGGCTACGGTGCCGAGAAAGAGAGCCGAGGTGGGTGATGTCACCGCAAGGAGAGAAAGCAAAGCAAGCTGCCGATAACATCGCTGGCCAAGGTGACTCATCGGGGAGATGGGCCACAGCCACAGGGCCATTGTTATTGTGTAGCTGGGACAGGTCCCCTCTGCTCAGCAGAGATCTCAGTACACAGTGTCCTCCACCGCTGGGGAAGTCCTCCCCACCCCCTCTTGTCTAGAGCCTTGGCTGTGTGAGTGTGGGGTGTATGTGATGATTTCCCTCCCCGGTCCTGCGGGGTGCTCCAGGTACCGGCACTTGCTAATAGCACAGCAGTTGTTCCTCCCATGGTTGGACAACTGTCTGTGAAGATGACACCGGATGGCAAACTGCTAACCGCGACCACGTGGCGTCCTCAGAGAGAGTACAGCCTGTTCCTGCAGCCTCAAGCACCTGTAGACCTGCCCCCATGCCCCACACCCCACTCCCTCAGGCCCTTGCCGAGGGCCCAAAGCTGTTTCATCCTTCCCCATCCCTAGGGGCACCATGTACTGTTGTGCAAGTTGAGAACCGGATAACTGGACAGGACACCATCCACTAGGCAGTGTGTGTGCCAGACCACATGGCTGAACGTGGTTGGCCCTGCCCCTTCTTTTTTTCTAAATTATGTATTTATGCCTCTTTCTAGAACGTTCTGTTTGGTTGGCATTTCATAAGTCTATCCTCACGCCAAACTTGCATGCTTTTCCTCTACCGCTTGACTCCATTCATTCATTCAAAAAAGAAAAATAGACTCAGAAGGCCGGGATCTGAGGATCCCAGTTTGAAGCCAGGCTGAGCAGAAAAGTCCCTGTGAGACTTTTATCTCCAATTAACCACCCCAAAACCAGAGGCGGTGCTGTGGCTCAAAGTGGTAGAGTGCTAGCATGGAACAAAATTGCTCAGGGACAGCATCAGGCTCTAGGTTCAAATCCCACCAAAAAAAAAAAAGGTTGAGTTTATGCCAGACACTGATCTTTCAAGTTCGCATTCTACATTGAGGAGAGGAACAATGAATAACTCAATACATAACACTATAACTGACAGTAAAAAGCCATGAAGAGAATCAAAACAGGCGGAGGGCAGAAGGGGACAGGCTTGCTTCAGCCGGGGCTGTCCCTGGCTTTTCTGAGGAGGCGGCTTCTACACGGAGGTTCCCAGCAAAGGCCCTCCCTCCAGGCTCCTGATGCCAAATTCTGTAATCCAGCAGAGTTCTGCCAGCAGCCTGTGGCATAGCCCGGGGCACACACCTTCCCACACAGGGAGTCCATTTCCTCCTTGGTAAACAGGAGTGCCTCTGATGGCTTCCCCAGCATGAATTCACACACACACACACACTCACTCACACACACACACACATACACACACACACACACACACACACACACACACACGGTAAGCAAAAGGAGCTTGAGTCAGGAGCTTAGGCTGGAAAGCCAGCTGGACTACCTCTGAGCTGTGTCATCTCAGGCAGGTGATGCAGCCCCTCAGAACCTTGTTTCCTTACCTGTAAATGGTGGCTATGAGATCACCTGGCACAAGATAAGGGTTGCATGGATTGTTTCCCAGGCTGCATTTGGGGAAGGTGGGGTGATAGAGTTGGGTGAAAGACCCAAATGAAAGGAACCTGGACCAGGGGAAAGTGAGTGAGAGTCCTAAGACTCCTGCGGCCACACGGAGGAGCCAGCCCCGGGCACCCTGCCTCTACCCATCAGCCAGGCCAGGCCCAGCCCCTGACATTCACACCGCAGCCTGGCTCTCAACTTCCTCTGGGCAGCAGCTCAGGCATGTTCAGGCCCGCCTGCTTTCCTTTCTCTCCACTCTCAAATCTACCATGGGGTAACAACTCTGCTCCCAGGGCCCAGGCAAGGGGGTACAAAGTCCCTTGAACCCTGCTGGGCACTGAAAACCAGCAGGTAGGTATCTCAAGTGTCCATGTGGCAACCACAGCATGAGTACCAATAATCACACTGACAGGCCACTGGGTCCAGTGCTGGTCAGCCCTGACCTCACCCCATGCTAATCCATCATGATGTGAGAACTTGTCCTTTCTCTTTCTCTTTTTTTTTTTGGTGCCAATCCTGAGGCTTGAATTTAGCACCAGGCACTGTCCCTGGGCTTTTGTGCTCAAGGCTAACACTACCACTTGAGCCACAGTTCCACTCCCAGCTTTTTTGGGTTCTTAATTAGAGATAAGAGTTTGGCCAACTTTTCTTCCCCAAGCTGGGTTTGACTGTGATCCTCAGATCTCAGCCTCCTGAGTAGCTAGGATTACAGGTGTGATTACAGTGTGTGTGTGTGTGTGTGTGTGTGTGTGTGTTGGGGGAGGCATGAGGCTTGAACTCCAGGCCTGGGCGCTGTCCCTGAGCTCTTCAGCTCAAGGTGCACACTCTACCACTTGAGCCACAGCACCTCTTCTGGTTTTCTGGTGGTTAATTGGAGATAAGAGTCTCATAGACTTTCCTGCCTGTGCTGGCTTTGAACCACAATTCTCAGATCTCAGCCTCCTGAGTAGCTGGGATTACAGGTGTGAGCCACTGTTGGCCAGTAGGACTGGGAGTTTGCATGGCCCTCGCAGTTCACACTGGGCCCTCCTGGTACTAGAGGCAGAGACAATACCAGCACTGCTGTTTATTGACAGCTTCCCTGCTGTGGGGACTGTGCTGAGCACTTAGCAAGGAGAAACCTAGTTCACCCTCACAATAGTACTGCAGAGCAGAGAGGCAGTGGGACTTCTCCAAGATCACACAGAACTGGCACTGAACCCCAGGTCTTGGCTCCCAAAGCCATTCATTTCCCAGCCTGGATTGAAGGGAAGGCAGCAGGGGGTCCCTGAGCATGCGTCTGGGGGGTGGGGTTGTGCTGAACCCCACAGGCCCTGGGGAGCCATGGTGGGTTGTTTTTTTTTTAGCCTGTTCCCCGGGGCCTGGCCACCCACGATGCTGGGTGGAGCCCAGGGGGGAAGCAAAGGGGCCCCGCAGAGGGCTGAACCTGGAAGCTGCCACAGGGAAGTGGTTTTGACGTGAGAAGGCGAAACTCATGCTTCCTCCACAGACCGTGCCGGGCGCCCTGTGTGGGGCACAGAGCCCGAAAAGTAGAAGTTCAGGGGCAAGGAAGGGCGGCCACGAGCACAGCCTCTTCCTGTGTCCCCTGTGCCCTGCAGGGCCCGCCTGGAGCCTCTGTGTGCACGAAGGTAGCGGGAGGCCCCTGGGTGCGTGCGCGGGTGCAGGGGCCTGTCCCCACCCCCACACCGTGGCAGCCGCAGAGGACAGGACGCCCTGGCTCTAATCTGCACCCTGCGGGCCTCAAAACCACAGACACGTCAGCAGCACGTGTGTACAGCTAGGTGGGAGGTGGGCCACGCGGCCCGGGATGCAGGTGGGCCCCAGTGCGCATGTGTACAACCACCTGGGGAATGCAAACGCATCCCTTCCCTCCCCCACCCCTCCACCCAGGAGCTGTCTGAGCTTTGGGATGGGGAAGCCCCAATTCCACCCACAAGGCTTCTCTCTTCTCCACTTCAAGCTCCCTGCCCTCAGGAGGCCCCAGTTCTTGTTGGGGGACCCTTAGAGAAGATATATTCTGTACCCTGTAACCAGGCAGTGGGGGATAAGAGGGGGGGTCAGAGAAAATAAGTGCAGGCCCTTCCCCACCCACACCCCCTGTGGGCAGGGTGAGGGGCAGGAAGAGGATGCAAGCAGATGTAACAGGTCTTGGGATGCAGGTGGGTGGTCTAGTTGGGCTCCACCAGAAAGCCAGGTTTCAATCCACTGGGAGAGGGAGGTGCAGCGCAGGTACTGGGAGACTGTGACCCCAGCGGCTGGCTGCCTGTCCTAGCCTCTGGCAATGACTCCAGCACCTCTCCCTTCCCCTCCTTTTCCAGCACCCCCACCCACCCACCCACCTCCTGCCTGATGCTCCAGCACCCCTGACATCCCCTCCACCTGCAAGGTCTTCCTGACTCCTCCTTCAGGACTCACCGCAAGACCCGCAAGACTCTTTCAGCCAGGTCCTGGCTGGGGCATAGGTGCAGCGGAGTGTTTCTCCTTTCAGCACCTTTCACGCCATTTAAACTAATGTCTCTTCCCTTATTATCATTTCTCTCGCCAGGGGACTTTGGTTTATTCTCAGCCACAACAATCTCTAGCTTCTTGAACAGTGCCTGGCTTATAGGACTCAATACTTACTGAGTGAGTGAAGGAAGGAATGAGAGCAAATCAGTAAGCATTTATAAAACAAGATCTAAAGGTGGGAGAGGGGTGAGACCAAGCCTGAGTGAGCAGCCATCAAGTTCCAGGAATTGTAGCTACCACATTCCTTTCGCCCTCTAACAACCCTGGCAGGTACATAGAATTATTCTCATTTAACCAATGGGGATGCTCATGACCTCTAGCTAGTGCTAGATCTGTGAAGATGGTCACCAGCACTTCCTTCCCTCTCTGGATAGGAATGCTGCTGCTGCTGCTGCTGCTGCTGCTACTGCTGCTCCTCCTCCTCCTCCTCCTACCTCCTCTTCCTCCTCCTTCTTCTTTTTTGGTTGGTCATTGGGCCTGAACTCTGGGCCTGGGCACTGCCCCTCAGCTCTTCGGCTCAAGGCTAGCGCTCTACCACTTGAGCCACAGCACCACTTCTGGCTTTTTTCTTTTTGCTTTATGTGGTGCTGAGGAATAGAACCCAAGGCCTCATACATGCAAGGCAAGCGCTCTACCACTGAGCCACCTTCCCAGCCCCATGCTGCTCCTTCTTCTAGAGCTGGAGTCAACTTCCCTTCCTCACACCACCCACCCCATTGCCTTGTATCTCAGTACTTTGTGACTCACTGTGAACAACAGAATCTTGCAAAAATGTACCAGCTAGGCCTGGGCCTTGAGGGATGTGGTCTCTGGGATAGCCAGTCTGCAGGATCTGAAACAATGAAAGGGTGAGCCATTTATTCTAAAAGCAAGACAAGCAGGCACACCTGTCATCTAGCTACTCAGGAAGCTGAGGTTGGGAGGATCAAGATCTGAGGCCAGCATAGGGGAAACATTTGTGAGATCTCCATCTGAACC